GAGATCATGCAGACATTTCTCTGCACCAGAGGGAAACACACACACACTCACACACACACACCGGGTTGAAAACACACACACCCGGTTGTCTTGCAGACGGCAGCTGCGGGAAAATCTAACAGGATATTGTTCAGGATGCGTCAACGGGAATGTGTGTGTGTGTGTGTGTGTGTGTGTGTGTGTGTGTGTGTGTGTGTGTGTGTGTGTGTGTGTGTGTGTGTGTGTGTGTGTGGCCTAGCATTACTATACTTGTGGGGACCTAAATCTGTTTACACAGTCACGTGTGGGGACTCGCCTCCTTATGGGGACAAAATGGAGGTCCCCATGAGGGGAATCATTAATTTTAGGGTAAAGACTTCGTTAGGGTGAGGGTTAGGCATGTGTTGGTTATGGTTAAGGTTAGGGTAAGTCTCCAGGAAATGCATGTAAGTCAATGTAATGTCCCCTGAAGTGATGTATACATGGTGTGTGTGTGTGTGTGTGTGTGTGTGTGTGTGTGTGTGTGTGTGTGTGTGTGTGTGTGTGTGTGTGTGTGTGTGTGTGTGTGTGTGTGTGTGTGTGTGTGTGTGTGTGTGTACTGGTTTTATAAAAAGATAGTCTAAGAACAAAGAAAGAAGAAAGCAAATAGATCAATATATCACAAACAAATATCAAAATGAATCCAAATACTTCCCCTCCAAAACTCCATATAGACAATCATATTGCAATTCCTATACAATATGCATCAAACTCAATGTTGCACTGAGTATAAAGAAAATGTAGGACCAAAAAACATCAAAAAGTCTTCCCTCACCCACTCCAAAAACAGCATGAATTGCAAAGTGCGTGTCTAGAAATATAGATATATTTTGCCCCAAAAAGACAAATTAAATGATCACAATTGTGTTTAAGTTGATGTCCTTACAGTAAGCATATCGGTGGAGAAAACTTCCCCTGAATACAGTTTCGTTTTGAATGTGTCTCATTATGCATCATGCAAGTGGGCTTTTAATATTTAGTTAAGTATTTATCTGCGCCCTGTGCAGTCAATCAGTGGCGACTGAGCTTGAAGATGTTTAAACTGATCTGTCAGTCTATGGTAAGTTCAGCTGAAGTTCCCTGATCAAGTTCCAATAGTGCTAAGTCTAGACCCTTACCCTTTATTTTTATTGTGAAGTTAGAGGTATTGACACACACTGTTTCAAGATCTTTCACCAATTACTACTCTTGTATCTTCGCCTATATCTGGCTTTTTAAGTTTGCTTAAACTGTTGTTCAGCATACAATAGCAATGAAGTACAACACTTGTGCTCAGTAACATTGTATATCTACAGAAAACCAGCTGTTGAATAAATAAAAACATGATTTTGAGCGTTTAATAGTGGGATCACAGGATTACACACAGTTATATAATAAACCTGCTCATCTCACTTTCACCATGAAACAGACTCAGCTGCAAACGTCTAACACCATCTGAACCCCTTCTGATGAATCAGCTGCAGGAGCAGAGTCCTCTGAATCAGCGTCTCTCTGCTACAGCTCCATTCATCCTGATTAGTGTTAATGAAGATGGAGTGTGTTTGCTTTAGACCTAATTCAGACTTTTTGATCATTCCTATCCCCGCTGTTCAAGTGTGATTTCAGCCTCGTTGTGATTCTCTAACCCTTGACTCTGCTTCCCCGCTCAGACTTTGAGGAGCCGATCCCTGACGACCGTTACCATGGCATCTACTTTGCAATGCTATTGGCTGGCGTGGGTTTCCTGCTCCCGTACAACAGCTTCATCACCGACGTGGACTACCTGCACCACAAGTTTCAAGGTATTAATATGCATGAACCAAGCCATGCACCTATGGAGAGTGCAGGAATTGTACATGCACACCTGCAGAGTGCACGTATATTCATGTTGGGGGTGACAGTCGATTCAAAAATGTAAATGAATCACAACAATAATCAGGTATTAATCTTAATTAATCTCAATTTGAAATGACTGGTATTTACTTATTCTTTGGGGGTAGTTAAATAAATACATGTGTGTATTAAACTGTTAAGAGAAATCAGAGGTTTTTTTAACGTTATTATAACATCTCAGCAACATTTTGATGATTTCTGAATTACTGGCATGATGTCCGACAGTTTTCAGACACTTAGCTTAAGCCTCATCTTAAAGGCTGAACTACTCGTTACTCATTTTAGGATGTTTAACAAAGTAAATAAACAATCTCTGAATAAGTTGACCCTCTATATCAGGGGGGTCAAACTCAAATACACAGTGAGCCAAAATAAAAAAATGGGTACTACTCGAGGGCCGGACTGGTTCAATGTTTATTGCAGAACGTATTGAAATGAACTTATTGCACATATTAAACCTGGAACTAACAAAGCTTAAATGATTGCCTATAAAAACAACATTAAACATTAAATAATCAGTTGCATTCATTTCTTATGGCTCTATCTGCAGCTTTTCCAGAGTCATTTCTTATATGATTACATTTCTCCACAGGCCAACAACAGCTTCAAAAAAACTTTTCCCCTCAAAGAACAAACCAAACCTGCCCTGTTGTCATGAGAGACAAAGTGCAGAAGGAAACATCCATTAAACTCAGTGTGCTGCTCTGTGATGTTAGTTCAGATACTTGGCATCTCATCTTGGGTGCAAGTTCATCAATGTTTGGGCTCAGGCTCTGAGCTGAGGAGACCCTCAGGATGGAGAGAAGGTGTGCGTGCAATATACCGGCGGGCCAGATCTAATAAAAATGTGAATTATCCTGCGGGCCGAAATTAAATCCACCACGGTCCTGATTTGGCCCCCGGGCCTTGAGTTTGACACATGGGGTGTTTCTCAATCGCGAGTAAAGCTGCTTCAGAGCCACTATTTAAAGCATACAACGTCATCGAGTGCCGCCGGAGTACTGTTCCAATGTCCAGCATACTTGGAAATCTACCGAGCCCGGCGTACTTCGTTAGGAGAAATTTCGAGGCTGCACATGTGTCGACTCCGCGGTCTTAAAATCCCCACAATGCTTTGCGCACGGACCAATTTCCCCAAATCTGCGGCGGAAAATGTAAGGCGGGGCATGACGCACACCTGCTCGCCTGTTCCCCTCTTCGTTTTTCCGAATGCCAGGAAGGATTCTTGCCTCGCTTCTGAAGCAAGATGCTCGGCAGAGATGTGCTACCAAGCAAGCGTCCTCGCGATTGAGAAACACATATGTGCTCTAGTCTATATCATCCACATCTCCTACAACAGATGGACTAAATACCATTAAATCACACCCTGTAACCCAAGTTATTAACGATTGAAAAATTGGGCTAAATAAGCATTAGGACTCTTACAGCATCAACAAAGCCGGGAGGAAGTTGAGGTCAAACTTGGAAATGTGATACATGAGATAAAAAGGCAAATGCAATGAGAAGGTTTGGCAACTGTGGCTGTGAGGTAGTGCGGTCGTCTTTCAATCGGAAGGTTGTTGGTTAGATCCCAGTCAATATGCCGTGGACTAGCTTTGGGCAAATTACTTTTGTGTGAGTTGTGTGAATGTTAGCTTCCGCGAACAAGTGGCACATTTCTCTGTTTGAAAGGTTGAATGATGTGTTGTAACTGTAAAGCCCTTTGAGGGGTCGTAAGGACTGGTTAAAGGCTATACGTATCAATACAGTCCATTTACCAATCAGTGTTCCATTTTTGTATTTCACTTTATGTGTTTGATGAACAAAGACCATGCATAAAATACATTGATCTCAACAAGAGAACAGATGATACTCTAGATTTTTTACTCGTAGCTAATTTACAATCCTAACTCCTATCAAACGTGTGTGTGTGTGTGTGTGTGTGTGTGTGTGTGTGTGTGTGTGTGTTTCAGGGACGTCCATCGTGTTCGACCTGAGTCTGACGTACATCCTGGTGGCTCTGCTGGCCGTCATCCTGAACAACGTGCTGGTGGAGCGGCTCAGTCTGCACACCAGGATCACTGTGGGTGAGTCAGGAACACACTTTAATCAGGAAGAAGTTCTCATTATGGAAATTTCTGCTGTCATTTATTAATGAATCTCCTCTGGGAAGCAAGAGCTTATCAGAGCAGAGTACACAGAGCAAAAAACTGTGAGTACATTATAAAAGATCGAGAAAGAAACGTCTTATTTTCCCTGTTTTATTCATAACATGTTTCGAACAAGCTTTGACAGTGTTTTCACAAGGGGCTGTTTTTAAAAATCTTGCTGTCAGTTTTCAAAACACTCTTAAAGCAAACTTACTGTGCTATTTAAGTAAACCTTTCAGATACTTCAATGCCACTTGGAGAATTGGAGAACATAATAAATTAAGAGGCAAGCACACAAGATTAAAGTCAAATATGTACACATACATAGTAAGAAAAGAATATGTAAATAAATAGCAGCATTGTGACATACGTTAATATATAAAGTAATCAACATAACAGAGATACCTTGGCCCAAGCTAGACCATTTAAAGGGGTCCTATTCTTTACAGGGTTCCCCCCCCCCCTGCCTGAAACGCCTCAATTTGACTTCTTTGTTTACATCCTGAACTTAGTGACATCATTATGTAACACTCACACTTCTATTGGCTAGTCCTCTTACACATTGTACGTGATATTTAAGGGGCGGGACATCTCTAAGCGGTTGACCAATCACAACAGAGACGGCCAGATAACCAATCAGAGCAGACTGGGCTCTGGTTTCAGACGGAGGGTGAAAAGAGGTGCTGCAGCACAGGCAGTATGAGAACAATAAAGAGCTTTTTGAACATGAAAGCATGGAGACATGTCACGGTAGAGACACTACATACATTGAAATTGACCCTAATAGGGCCCCTTTAAAGTAATCCTGCTGACAAAAAAAACAAAAACCCATATTTAAAACACAACCTCTTAAAATGCAGGCAGATTATGCTTCGGGTTTCTTAAAGATTAAGCATAACACTGGAGACATTTCAATTTGGCTCTAAATTATTCAATACAAATCTGTTTTATAATGCTACTACACGCCTTTGCTAATAATAGAGCTGTTCAGCCTTCCGATATGAAGAAAATATAAACTCTTTAAAAATGTATGTCCCCCCCCAGGAGGTTTTACCATCACCACCTCTCCATCCCTCTGCAGCCTAAAATAGCTCCGCCTGCATCCTGGAGGAAATGTCTTTTGAAGTGTGTTGTCTGCTGGAGAGTCTCTGGAGCTCAGAGACTCCCGTCGGACGTCAGATGGAAACGATACGGCTGTCAAATATGTCATATGTGCTCAGTCATGCGATCCTAACATGACCTGGTCTCCTCACTGTGTGTGTGTGTGTGTGTGTGTGTGTGTGTGTGTGTGTGTGTGTGTGTGTGTGTGTGCAGGTTACATCCTGGCTCTCGGGCCGCTGCTCTTTGTCAGCGTGTTTGATGTGTGGCTGGCCAAGTTCACCACAGCACAGGCTTACGTCGTCAACCTGGTGTCAGTGGGAGTGGTGGCCTTCGGATGTACAGGTACTACTACTAATAATAATAATAATAATAATAATAATGCTTTTTCTACCTCCATATCTACCTCCCATATTTCCCTATCAGCTATCGCAGTCAGAATACTTTATTTCATCCCGGGGAGGTTTTGGTTTTGTGACAGTTGCTCCACTTTAGAAAAAGTTAAGAAAAAAATATTTATATAAACATAGAAAGTAAAAGTAAGACTATGTTACTGTATAAAAGGTAAAGTGAAATGAGGATATTTATACAAAAAATAAAGAAATTAAAGTATGTTTAACTGTGTGTATTTTGGCTACACATTGTATTACAGACTTATTATAGGAGCTGTGGTTAAAACGATCACATTTTGGGGGAAAAAACAACAAAACAATCTACGACTGTTGCCAAAATGTATGCAGCAACACAGCCAAACATCGAACAAATAAGAAATTGAAGCAGTAAAACAAATGTCCCTGTTACACGGGGAGGCACATGATACATCTGGCCATCGTTTCTATACCCACTGAAGAGAATAATGCAACATTTTGGTGCTCTTAGTGCTGAGTCAGAGCTGTCAGATACTCAGTGGAGTCTGCAGTCTAATGTTTCCTCACTGATTCTCGCAGTGACTCAGCCTCCAGCCAGCAGCTGTAAAAGGTTCATTAGCCGAGGCCAGAGAGTCTCCTCCCCAGTGTGTGAGGTCCAGGAGTCGTGTTAATAAATAGTATTGTTAAAGTGTTTAACTGTTTGAAAAACACTTCGTCTTCCCTCCTCAGTGCAGCAGTCCAGTTTCTATGGTTACATGGGGATGCTGCCCAAGAGGTACACACAGGGGGTGATGACCGGGGAGAGTAAGTACACTCACACTGACTCATTAATGTGCACGGTGCAATATGATGATACTTTACTCTCAGATAAGGTCTTAAATTGTTCTTGCATCACAGCAGCTTCCATTCCACATTTAAAAAGGCAAATATTACGACAAAAAACAAGAAAAAACAGACATTTAAAGAGGCCCTATTAAGCTCTATGGGGTTTTCCCTTTCCTGTGGTGCATGAGTCAATCCTAACATTAAATACAGAGTTCAAATGTACGTTAAAGGGTCTTGAACCTATTGTCTTCAGTGGTTGTTATGTTATGTCAAATATCTGTTTTCTTGCTTCTTGTCTTAACATGTGTCTTTGTTGACGTTGCAAATGGAGCTGCTGCAATGCATGACATTTTTTACAGATGTGTTCTGACGATAAAGTATTTTCGTAGCATATCGTATCTCATCTTGTACTATCATATTATATAGTCTCGTATTGTATCGTATAATATTATGTCGGTCTATCACATCGTGTAGTATCATATTGTTTTGTATAATTGTGTATTGCATCGTGTCTTAGCGTATCGCAAGAGCTGTATTGTTTTTTACATTTGTTTGCATTTACATGTACAACCGCTGTTTGACAACGATAACGATTGAAAACAATAAAAACTAAAGTGAGCAAAAATAAACAAAAAAACACAGATAAACATGAAAAACATTAAAAGAGACATATTTTCTTAGCAGCACACACACATGGGGCAGACAAGGACAGCAGCATTTAGAAGAAGCAAACATGATGTTTAGCACAGCAGTGAGTAGGTTCATCTGAACGTGAGTTTTGAGGCTCTCTTTCACTTCCTGCTCCCGTTCCTCTCCTCCAGGCACAGCAGGCGTGATCATCTCTCTGTCGCGCATCTTCACCAAGCTGCTGATCCCGGACGAGAGGAGGAACACGCTCATCTTCTTCCTGGTGTCCATCAGTATGGAGATGCTCTGCTTCCTGCTCCACCTGCTGGTGCGCCGCTCTCAGTTCGTCCGTTACTACACCAGCCACGCCCAGGGAAAAGGAGCGGGGAAACTTCCCGACGCACGAGACAACGGCACCGGATACAGAGTGCACCACGACGTCACCGCAGAGGAAGTACGATTTGTAAGTTTGTGAAGAGATAATCGACTATACTGGTTGTATGGATGGTCTTTGCTAGTGGCTTTATGAATGGCAATGTTGTTCAATTGTTCCGCTGAATATCTCAACAGTTGTTTTATGGATTGCCTTTTAATTGGGTAGAGCAGTGGTTCCCAACCTTTTTCAACTCAGGGCCCACTTAAGAATAAAAAAAAATGTGCGGCCCACATTCAACCATAAACAATACAGAGGCTAAATAAAGTTCGGATTGGTCCATTCAGAACATGTGACACGTTGTTAATCCAGCAGTACAGACCGTTGTCAAGGACTGTACTGACTGTTGCTAAGGAGGATCAAGAAAGAGAAAAATAAATCGTGATAATGAAATGTTTCCACACAAATTATACTGTTTTGCAAATGATTTTGCGGCCCACTTGCAATGCATTCGGGCCGTGGCCCACAGGTTAGGAACCGCTGGGGTAGAGGCATTCATGGTCCTCTGAGGATGAATCCTACAATGCCGTGATGGAGTCAATCTTTATGGAGCCGTGTACAGAGGGGTCGGTTATTCCCAGAAATGTAGGAGAATAGAAATGAGAAAAGTATTGGATGGTGATGTTGGTTGATTGTTCTGATAATATCTCAACCACTATTGGATGCTTTTACATTTCGTAGAAGCATTCATGATCCTCTGAGGATGAATCCTGTGATGGCATATCAGGGTCAATGTAGGTACAAAAATAAATAATGTATGGAGGCAGGAGATTATTTATTTAATTTAGTAGCCATTTTGGTACAACACTATGGAACATCCAACACTGTATGCTATATAATAAAAAAAAACAATTCAAAACGATGTCTCTTCCGAGTCCAGATGCTGATGATAATATGTTGATTCTGCTTTAAATCACATATGTTTTCTAAATGTTAAATCTGATTGCAAAGTGTAATTCAATTAGGTCTTCCACTGCAGCCACGATAAACGATCCAACCTTGCAAAGTGAAGCCAGGTCGTTCTTTATACTACTACTATATAAATATATATATATTCAGGAATTTCTTTTTGTTGTTTATTTTTCAAATTGACTATTTTTTTTTATTATAAATGGAACATCTTAAAGGTGGGGTAGGTAAGTTTGAGAAACCGGCTCGAGATACACTTTTTGTTATATTCCATGGAATGCTCTTAACATCCCGATAGCAATGAATATCTGAATATCTGAAGTGCTTTGACAAAAAATCCATAAAAAAATGTCATCTGTAGGAAACCCGTGGTACTGTAAAAAGCACGACCAAGTCATCTGAGCCGCCCGGCTAAAATAACTGGATGGCCTATCCCCTGTGTGCCTGTCAGCCTTCCATCTGTGCACAAACTTATCTCGTGCCCTCATTGGTCATGTGCGCGTTCGTGTGTGTTGGAGGAGGGGCTCTGTAAGGAAGTCTGAAGGAAGGGGCAGATTTTCAAAAAAGGTTGTGTATTTTCAAATTCTAGCGCACTCGAGCTGGTTTCTCCAAAATTACCTACCCTACCTTTAATCTTGTAAATTCTGAGTTTTGACTCTGATTATTCCCCTACTCCCCTCACTTCTTTGAGCTGAAGCTTCTTAACACTGGACGAGCTCCTCTCATTAAAGCTTCTCTCTCATTCATTAATCCCGTTATTAATGATTCCACCACGGACTGTTTCTCCAAGAAGGGGAAATGTCAGCCGTTTAAACTGAGCTGTCACGCACCGCCCACTTCATGTCGAAGTCTGTGAGGAGCGTGTCCTCTTCAGGGATCGAGGGCTGTGCAGAATCATTTATTTGAGCTCCAGGCTGCTTTTTGGACGCCAAAAAAAAAAAGATAAAGACACATGAGGAAGAGGAGGAGGCTCCTGCAAACAGACAGAACATGAGAGTCACGACTCCTTGAGGAAACAAGGTTGGGAGAAAACTGTTGAGGCGAGGAGGTGAGACAGAAAAACAGAAAGAGACATGACAGAAGAGGAGGTGGAGACACTTTGTATTCCTGCTTGAAGCATCACTTGTAGCCTGAAGACATGGAGTGAATATTGTGTGTGTGTGTGTGTGTGTGTGTGTGTGTGTGTGTGTGTGTGTGTGTGTGTGTGTGTGTGTGTGTGTGTGTGTGTGTGTGTGTGTGTGTGTGTGTGTGTCTCTGGAGGATGATTCAGGCAGCTCTTTGTTCTGGTTGCCGGGGGAAACCGTGGTTCTTTGCTGAGGGATAATCAAGAAGAGTGGTGCCTTCTGGCCCTGCAAGTCCCCTCTAATCAACTAATGGATCGCTGTGTGTGTGTGTGTGTGTGTGTGTGTGTGTGTGTGTGTGTGTGTGTGTGTGTGTGTGTGTGTGTGTGTGTGTGTGTGTGTGTGTGTGTGTGTGTGTGTGTGGGTGTGTGTGTGTGTGTGTGTGTGTGTGTGT